CTCACTATCGTATACGTGGGAGCTGGTACCCTACTTGGGTTGTACTAGGTTTGATCTCGGAATGAGACCGTACTTTTAGTCTTCTGGAACCAGGTGAAAAAATTTGATGAACATATTTTCAGATTTGAAAATGAAAAACTAAAAAATTAAAACAAAAAATTAGAGATAGAAAAACTGGAAAATGAGAACAGAAAAATGGAGAACGGAAAACAGAAGTACAAAACTTGAAAATATTTCTAGTAAAAAGACCATTAGCTTTTGAAATCAATCTCTATCAAATTCATATTTATTTATTCAATGTGATAACGAAAACCGGTGAGATATTACGTGTTTCGTTTGAATTGAACCAGCTAATCATCTCTGTCTAACTCCTTGCACATAACATATACTCTCTCCGGTCATAAATAAACTTCACACTTTGATTTCACACAAATTAAGGAAATAAATTTGACTTTACTGTAGAGTACACTGTTGTGACACTGTTTGACACTGTTTTGCACCGTTTTGATGTAGATAATTTGTCAAATAAGGAAGAGAGAAGAAGTGTGAAGTTTATTTTGGACGTACTCAAAAAGGAAAGTGTGAAGTTTATTTAGGACAGGAGGGAGTTTTTTTATCGCTTAGACTAATTTTTTAGGCAAAAGTTTCATGAAATCATGATTGTGCTTTTAAAGGTTGTGTGAGATTGAGTTTGAAAAGTAGGATATCTATACAGGAATTAACATACCGTAATTTTCAGATTTACCGCTCTCCCCAACCATCCTCCCCCGAGTAAAAACAAAACATTTTCCTCCCCCGAGTAAAAACAAAACATGACTTTCGGAACGTGAAGTTATTATGGACTTTTTTACATTACATTGTTTTACTTTTGTTCTAAATTGGGTTTTTATGTTTGAAATTAGCAATAGGAGTTTTTATGAACGAAATAATCTTCAATTTCCCACCGCAATTAAGTTAAATGAAGTCTTTTTCATATCCAAATTAAATATGATCATATTCAAACATTTAAAATTTCGTACAGGTTTGGACTTTTATGGTTCAATTTGAATAGTTTTGTTTGTTCTATTTTAACTGAAATCTCATCTTTGGATCTTCTATCATCTTTACTTTTTCTTTCATGCTTGCCTAGAATCCATCATAATTCATAAGATCTGTCCGATCGAATTTTGACGGTCCAGCTTAACGCTTTATGGCCGGCCGGGTCCAGGAAATCATGGTTTCATTAAGCACGTGATAAAGAATAAAATACGTAGTACTTTGTTTTCAAGAGTTAGAAATGATTTAATAATAATTTCAAGGAAAAATAAAAGTTATGCAAAAGTCAATATGATAAAATTTAATGTGAATATAATATGTGTTCTACATGTGTGTGAGTATGTCTATCCGCATCGACACAAATATTAATTATAAAGTAACCTTGATATAAAAGTTACGGAATATAAAATGAAAGGTCATGGATGTAGATACTAGATACCACATACTAGGTAGTATTTTATGTTCACCAAAAACTACCTTAACATTTTGCCAACAACATTACGCCATATGAAAATAATGCGGTTATTAAGAAAAATAGATTTATGTGATTGATATTGAATATTTTCGACAAAGAATAAACGAGGAGAAGATGAAGTTCAAGTTGCAGACGTGCCAGCGAAGATGATCGATTGAAGAAATTGGTTGCAAGCAAATTGGAGAAATCGATGGAACTTAGCTCTGGATCGAGATGTAGCAATCGATGAGGCTGGCGAGAGAGTGATGCACCCACCGGAGAGGCCGGTAGTTTAATATTAAGCCTTTTTTCTATCGAAATTAAAATTAAATCTTATTTTTGTCTATGTATAGTAGAAGTCAATAGTATTATTTTTGTAAGAAATTTGAATGTATGTGATGTTTGAGATTATGTAAATACGTAAATATAATGTTGTTGTTTTTTGTAAATAAACAAGTTTAGGCTTAGGGCTTGATCAAGTTTGTTTTCACTTTTCAGTAGACGACGACGCATGGATATTGAACATGTTAAAATATTACTCCGTGCTAAAATAGTATTAAAACTTATTTTAGTCACATCACTAAAATATTACTAAAATAAAACTTATTTACACGAATATGATTAATAGTTATCTAGCCTAGTCATTATTATTTACATTTTCGTAAGCATTATATGTAATTATTTCATGGATATTACGGTATAATCTACCTATAATTATACGGATATTAATTATTGAAAATAAATTAAATTATTCATATTGTGAAAAGTATATATCCTGAATAGTTAACCATTATTAAAGCTAGAAAGAATTCCGTAAATAGGAATATAATAATACACAAACAAAGTGTCTTAACTTGAATCATTATTGTTTCTTTTACTCTTATTTGTAAAAAACTTTGAGAGAATTCTCTAAATAGGACTAAAATAAGGTAGAATTGCAAAAATATGACTACTATGTTTTATTGGACAAAAATATGGTTAAAAAGTGCTAATCTGACGAAACTACCATCCAACTTGACGTCCTCTAAAATTACTATTAGAAACTTAGATGTAGTTTATTGAAATATGGAAACAAATAATAATTGGATGAGATGTGAGAGTCACAGTCTCTAAAATAATCATATAAATTTGTTATGTTATAATTAATTCGGAATATGAATAAAAATCCTTAGGCTAAAGAGATGCAAAGATTGAAGAGGCGTGCCTTTTATTGATGCAGCAACAATTGTATTGTTTTTAAAAATCACAAATGTTTCTACTTAAAATTAATGTATATATTCTTTTTTAAACTTTTATTCTGTTTAAAACTTTTTATTTATGTTTTAAATTTTGAAAGTGTCAACAATATTAAATATGAGGCCTAATTAATTGAACATAAGAATAGAAAACAAGCCTACCCACACTATATAAATATAAAATTTTGGGCCTATTTTTTCTTCTATTTTTTCGGGCCTAGGGAGGTCGCCCCTGCCCCCCCTAGAACGGATCCTGATAAACGTACTGCCACAAATGTGATATTTTTTTAAATAACCAATAATTTTGACATTCTTAGATTATAAAAGTGGCATTTTGTAAAATAAATAAAATTCAAATCCAAAAAATCCAAATTAATAAATAAAATTCAAATTCGAGAAATCCAAATTAATAAATGAAATTCAAATCCATAAAATCGAAAGAAGAAGAAGAAGAGAATAGGAGACTAGAAATTTGAGGAGGAGGAGGAAGAGGGACAGTGGTACACTAATATTTACCCCCTACTTTTCATTTTGTTAAATTAGTACGTAGTAATAAGGATGTTTTTACTTGGACTGTAATTCGTTCCAGATCAGATCAGACCAGACCAGACCAGTTCAGACCAGATCAGACCAGACCAGACTTGGATAGTTAAAAAAATACAAAGAAACCAGATCAGATCAGACCAGACTAGTACAGACCCGACCAAAACAGACCAGACCAGACCAGATCAGACCACACCAGACCAACAAATTACACTCCAAGTAAAAATATCCTAATGGTGCCCCTTATGCTTTAAAATCTGTTATTTACTCATTTTGCTCTTTGGTACTTTGGGATTAGACTCATTAGATTAAGGATGTTTTTACTTGGACTGTAATTTGCTGGTCTGGTCTGGTCTGGTCTGGTCTGATCTGGTCTGATCTAGTCTGGTCTGGTCTGGTTTCTTTGTATTTTTATAACTATCTAGGTCTGGTCTGGTCTGGTCTGATCTGGTCTGGTCTGATCTGGTCTGATCTGGTCTGGGAGGAATTACAGTCCAAGTAAAAACATTCTAACATGTATTTGTTTTAGTAATACGGAATATGATTAGTCTGCATTATACTATTTTATTACATTAAAGTGAAACAGAGTATTAGTTGTGATTGATAATATATATATTCTAGAATTTATTACTTTAATCCCCTTAAGTAGATTAATTATTCAATTTGTAAGACTTTGTCTCAAGTATCGAATATATTAGAGAAAAATAGTATGGAACTATGAATGCGTGGATGAAAAAATTAGGGCAAATCTAATAAATTAACTTCGACATAGGATATATTTCATTTTTGTATGTCTATTTCCTTTGAATTATCTGGTGCAAAGTCGAACCACAAAAGCCAATCAGTAGCATTTTTTCCTTTTCCAGACATTATTCAAACATGTTCTAAACCAATGATTTTTGAAAATCGGACATTTCATTATAATATTACATTTGTCTCATAAAACTTGATCAATTTGACATTTCTTGATTAGTGGTAATAAACTGTAAACAATGTTTTTAGCTATTAATTACTCCTTGTTAAAGAAGAAGGATTATATATCTCTTTCATTAACATATACCCCCATCGTCCCGAATTGAATTGCAAACTTTGACCGGCACAAGGATTAAGGAATGACAATAAATGATGCGTGCTTTTTGCATTTTTGCACATCTTTCTAAAAGTAGATGCCTTTAAGTTAATGGAGAAAAAGTAAAAACAAGGGTAAATTTGTCACTTTATTCTTATTTACATATCTAAAATAGAAAGTGAAAAACCATTTTGAGACAACCAAAATAGGAATTTTCGCAAATCAAATTGGGACGGAGGGAGTATGAGATATATATATACAAGGGGAAAGGTGGGTAGGGCTACATGTATTACGGACTGGACCCTTACAATACATACGGGCCATATATGATAATGGACATCTACATAATTACATAACACTCCTTATATTTGTTTGAAACTTACAACTTTTATATTGAGTTTTTCAAAAATTGAGATCAACAATTCAACCGGGTTTCTATATCACAGAGTAATATTTATAATATACCTTTGATCTGATATTGTAGTTATTAACAGTCTATAGTTGATGAAAAATTATATTTATACACAAAATATGTATATAAATAAATTACACAATCTGAATACATGGACAATTACAAACATTTTTAATCGAATTATATCTATACACAAGCAATCTTAGGCTGTGTGTCGCCTCTGGCCATCTAGTCAACACAACTAGTATAAATGCCGAGTCCACTTATGATACTTCAACCAAGCCATCATTTCAACAATAGCTAGCTAGACGAGTAGAAGTATAAAGGAAGACAGGAAAAAACATGGCTTCCAGAGCTGCCTACAAGATGAAAGAGTTCTTGGAGGTCATCTCCCTGCAAGAACAGCTCAACTTTCACGAGCTCAAACGCCAGCGGCAACCGTCTGCCTCTCAGGCTGGCGGCGGCGGCGCTCAGGCCGCCAGTAGTCTGAGCGAGGCCTTTGAGGCATTTGATATCCAGCAACGGATGGCAGCCCTCCAAAAAAAGGTGGGTGAACGACAATCTCCCTCTGTTTTTGAGATGTTTGGTGGTGAGCTTTTCCACACTGAGCCTAATCCGCCGTCTACCGGTTATGCCTCCTCTACTCCGGTGACTTTTCACGGCGGATCAGAAGAAGCTTCCACCGCTGCCGCCGCCGCATATGGAGGAGGGGAACCCTTCGGTAAGTAATTTTCAACTCATCCCGGCCACTTATTTAATTAATTAACGAATTAAAATTTTAAGTTTCTTTTTACACTTTCTAGGAATTGAAGGGTGTTAAAAACACTTGGAATTATGACTCCAAGTGAGATCGTAACAATAAAATAAGAGTAATACTCTGTTTCCCTTATAAAATTTCCTGATTTGTGTAACACTTTCTGAGAAATAACACTTTCTTTTTAAAATTTGAACTTCTTGGAAGTTCTTTTTAATTGGTGAACGTAAGATTTCTACATAAGTAAAGATGACTTTGTTTAATTAAAGACCGAAATGCAAGAAGATGTGGGAGGGAATTAAATGAAGAAGCCTTTGAATATACCAAGTTCGACCATATCATTATTAAGTTACCATCAGCTCTTACTACCTCCATCTCGTTTATATGACAACTTAAATCATTTTTAATCTTTTGCTTTATACATCAGTTTTTTATCAAACTTATATTTCTTATCAGGCTTTGTAGCGGTTTTAATGTAGTTTCTGAATATGCAAATTTTATTTACTAAAAATAATCAGAGTGTGAACAGAGATTAAGTTGTTTTATCATCAGTCAAGTATCGTAAACCGTTACGGGAACCTTCTAACGGGACGGAGGGAGTATTAAAGATGTAAAAATGTATAAAACCTCGAGTTCCAATTTTGATAACTACGATGAGAAGTTATTATGCACAAATGTACAAAACCTCTGCAAGTATCTAAATCGGAGCCTTACTTGTTATCTATCAACTTGTAATTAAATTTTAAATTACATTTTTCCGTGTTTCTCTTTGATCGGTGATGGGATTCTCAAGGATGGAGTGTCATCCTTTTTTTACAATTAAGAGTTAGCCTGTTTTCGATCTGAATTGGGACCGGTCTGCGGACTGAACCGTAATTGGGGAGGGATTTGGGCCTCCGATTACGAGCTTCTAAAATAGGGATTGGAACTGTCACCCCAATATTTTCTACTCCATATTTCATTTGCTAATTTTCTTCATTATTCACATCAATAAGCAACTTAAAGGGAGTGTGTGCGCATTTAAAAGCCGCAAAGAGTGAAAAGAAATGAGGGAAAGAGATGAAGTGATTCAAAAATATTAAAAAGTACTTTTATATTCAAAAATATTGAAAATAAACTTTCAAATATCCTATTTCCGTTATTCCAATTAAACTTTAATTTCATCCTCTTTTTGATAAAAAAAAATGTGTAAAATATTTGTGGTTCACATCACTTCTCGTATTTATTTCTCCTTTGCATAACTTTTCATCACATAATACTCATTATTTTAATTCTCTTTATTCCGGTGTAATTTAGAACCTGAAACCGAACTCCGTTCCTAGTCACAGGATGAAATGATGAATCATTAAAAAACGGAGTTCACACTAGTATTAGTGACAATGATGTAAGCTTGTTTGAATTAGGATGTACGTAATAGTAATCTCGTTCACCTAATAGTGTAAGATCGTAACTTGTCGATAACCATTGTTTTTTTATTTACCATTCACCTTATAATGTATTATAACTGAATAAGTAAAGTTTAATTTACATATCATATGTTTTTTCTTTGTTTTATTAATAGATACAGAGTTTGTTTATGTTTTTTATAATGAGATAACTATCAAATAAGCCATCGAACTTTCATAAAAAGTGCAAATAAGCTCTTTTTCATGAGGCTTTGTCCGGCTGTCGCCATTTGAGACGGTTTCCGGTGGAATTTTTTGATGAAATTTTTTGAGCATCTTCTTTACTAAGTATAGTTTACTCATACCAAATTTTAAATAAAAATTCAATCGGGAAAGCAGTCAAATGAATTTTTGAAGATAACTGTGCGATTAGACAGCGCAGTATATTTCAGAAAATCATTTGACTGCTATTTCGATTGAATTTTTAGTTTAAATTTTGTATGGATAAACTAGACTTAATGAAGAAGATGCTTAAAAATTTTCATCCAAAATTGTAACCGGAAACTGCCCCAAATGGCGACAGCCGGACAAAGCCTCTTGTAAAAAGGCTTATTTGCACTTTTTACGAAAGTTTGAGAGTTTATTTGATAGTTCTCCCTTTTATAATTAATCCATTGTTACTAAATAACTAAATTCCTCTAAATCTAAAATTAACAAATTTGGTGCGTGCATAGTCCTGATTTTCTTATCGAGTAATAGATTTGATGTTATATTTTTCTCTTTATTTAGGAAATGAGGGTAGGAGATGGACCAGAACAGCATGAAGTTAGAGCTGGGAAGCATGGCCGGATCAATATTCAAATGGATCAAATGCACTGTTTAGTTAAACAGACTTATTTTATGTTTTTGTTTTTATTATTCTCATCATCATCATTATCATATCTTCGTATCCTGTATCAAGTTAAGGGGTTTTATTTGAATCGCTATCATTAGTGATCAGATCCTTCATGTCAGGTTTTCATAATTGTTTTTTGAAATTTTCCGAGGTTATTAAACAATTAATAATGATAATGCAATATTGACTTATAATGAACCGGTTGAATCACACAATTAAGATCAATTAAGATGGTTGGTGATTTGTGCGTGTGGAACTAAGACCATTTAACAATGTTCTTCTATGAGGGAGGGAAAAACACAAATGTGAACACACGAACTTAAAGAGAAAAAATCGAGTGACACAAGTGTGATTAAAAAACTTCGACCTCACTCGGAGAATTTAAAAATATTTCACTAAAAACCTTTTAACAACAAGATACAAAATAAATCATTCTAGTTCACCCTTGAGTCACTCCAACTTTAACCCCTCTAGATAAAGTTCTTGCTACCTTGTCTTTTTAATAAGACACCTCACGACTTTATAACAAAGTCTTCATGTCACACCAATACAACAATAATAATCAAATAACAAGGAATAAAACCGCTAAATGAACTTTCATTGGAACACGGTTTGTTATGACATCCTTGTATATGACTCTCATTGTCTCAATATTTTCTCTCAGTAAAAGCACGCATTTTCCATCACCGGGCTTGAGTATTTATATTGATGTTCTGGAGTTCCGAATTCTTTGTAGTTATTTACGAGCCTTCCTTACGGTCGAGATGTCCATGGTGGTATCTTTACTATTGAAGATGAATGCTTTCCTTTGAGTTTGGATTCTCATTAAATGACCTACAATGTGATTTTGTTTGATTTTAGGCCAATTTGTTTCCTTTTAAATTAAATACTAATATATTGATGTCTTATCATCAATATAACAGAAAGACCTCAAGTTAACGATCTAGAGGTCAGTAAACCATTTAAATATATCATCAATGTGTTCAAAACTAACCCTAATAGGATGCCACACAGAATGTAAAAACTCAAAATGCTGACTAAAGATTTTTTTAATAAATGTTAGCTAACTCAAACTGAGTATGAATATATTTATCTACAAGATCATCATGTTCCACCCTTTCACGAATAAAATGATAATCAATCTTGATATGTCTGCTCCGATCATGCCGAATGAGATTAACCGCCATATAAGATGCAGACAATCACAATATAACTGAACATGAGCGAAGATAATAAAAAATTCCATATAAGCTAGAAGAGAAGGAATAAATATCTTATCGTGGATAGCGTAAGCAACAACACAATACTCGACATCAGTTTAGGATTGAGAAATAGTTGGCTGCCTTTTGGATTGCCAACAAATCAAATTACCACCCAAGGAAATAGCATAACATGTGGTAGAACGATAGATATATGGACATCCAGTCCAGTCTGTATCTAAGCAGGCAAGAACCATGAAAATATTGAGGTATGAATGAAGCCATGGACCATGCTGAGATGTGCCATGTAGGTACCTATATATCCTCTTAACAACCAATAAATGTGAGGTACGAGAAGCATGCATAAACCAAGATATTTGATGTATGACATAAGTAATTTCAGGTCAAGTTATAGTTAAGTATTGTAACACACCCACCATCCTTTGATATCCCGTAACATTTGCTGAGAGATCCCCATGAGTGAGAGATAATATATGGTGCGTGATGGAAGACATATAAGGATTGGTTTAACAGCTTGGAGATGGAACAATATATTAAATCATACACATATTTATACTAGGAAAGGAAAAGATCATGAGGAGTATGAATGGTTCATTGCCGAGAAAGTAGTCAAGGTCCCCTAAATCTTTCATACCGAGTTGAAGTGCAAAGTCCGAATGAATGTCTGAATGAGAGACATGGAATTATGAATAATAAGGATATATGTCATCCACGTGTAAGAGAATATAAAGGACTTGATTTTCTTGATGGTAGATAAACATAGAGGAATCAGATTCACTCTGATGAAAACTTTTAGTGAAGAGAAACCCACTGTAACAGTGAAATAAAGTTTGGGGAGCCCGCTTAAGATCACACAAAGCTTTGTGAAGGTAACAAATGCGATGTGGATAGGAAGGATGAATGAACCTAGGTGATTATTAATGATAGTTTCTTTTCAATGTATAGTGTGTGTGTGTATAGTTTGGTCATTTAAGAAAAAGGCTTCAGTTCAAAAATAAGAGCACGTGTAATGCACTAGATTTAAAATGTAACGTCTATGATCTAAAAGTGTACAAAGTACTAAAAAATAATTAAAAGTGAAGTAAAACATGTTAATATTTTCGTAGTTAGGTGATTGCTTTTTGCAACGGTAAATAAGTGTAATGTCAAGAGACAACAGTGAATCGTGACGGATTAAAGGTAAAAACTTCATATATTAAGGTAAGAACTTCCGCATGTGGATCATGTTGTCTTTATTCTATATTGGGGATTTGTTAGCTGCCTATCAACCATTTTTTGCCTGATTTGACCATATTTAGCCTTTTGACAAGATCAATCAGCTAATAAGAGTGCTTAATTATATAGTTTTTTCAATTAGCCTTTTGTTCCAAACAACCAAAAAATAAAATGCCACTTAGTGTAGCGTTAGAATTAGTTGTTCCGTATCTTTCCTTTACTACCTACCCATGTCTTTTACGAATCCCCTCCTACTTGCAGAAAACATTTCCGCCGAAGAGAAAATATAAAACCAACCTCGATCTTCTTCAACCGAAGAGCAAAATACCAACAATGGGAGCAAGCGGCCTTCTCCTATAACTAGCTATATATGTGTATATGTATAGAAAAGTATGATATGGTGTTATTTCATTAGTTTGCGTGAGGCTGGACACGTGCAGAGATGGGTAGAGAGGGATTTCGACTGGTATTACTTCCTCTCTGTCGTGGTTGTCAGCCAATGATCATCTCATAAAAAAACCGAGGAAAAGATTAATACATAGTATTAACAAAAGAAATGGGATTTCGATTGGGGTTGCCTCCTCCTTCGTGGAATCTCATAAAAATTTCCTTTTCATCTCATAAAAAAGTATGAGGAATGAATTATGAATTAAAAAATAGAGATTTAAATTAATTATTATTGGTGTTAATACATTTAACGTTTTAATCATAAGAATGATTTTTGTAGTTGTACTAATATTATTAATAAAGAAATAATTGATATCCTAAAAGGTTATTTAATAAGTTATAAGCTGATATTTTCTATCATGTTATTGATATGGAACGTGTTATTGGCAGTGACCTGTGACGTTTTGAGCAGAATTTGTTGGTACTCAAGACAATTAGGCCAGGAGATATTCCCTTGCAGATCCCTCTTAATGAGGCCGAGTTCTGGGTCAGGTACATAATGTACCTTATGATTTTATGAATATTGGGGTAGCTAGAAGAATCGGCAATTTTATTGGAAAATTCACCAGTTTTGATGAAAGTCAATTTGAAGAAAAATGGAAGTCTTATATGTATGAGAATCAGGGTTTGTATCGATGTGGGGAAGTCATTAAAGGTGGGCATGGCCCTTAGGAAAGGGCAGGGAGCAGGGCATTGGGTGACTTTAAGAATGAAAAATTGTCTAGTTTTTTCTTTGCATGTGGTATCATTGGTCATGCTGATATTAGTGATATATATTGTACCCCGGTCTATGAATGTAAAAGTACGGAGCTAGCTAAGCCCTTTGGGGTAGGACTCCAAGCGGGCGGAGGGGGAAAAACTCGCCCAATGGGAAGCAATAAATGGCTGGTACCTGAAAGTTCTGTAAGTGGATGGATTGTGCTTCAGAAAGATAATGCCCCTAGTAGAGTGAATGGGGATATTGGAAGGGTTGGGACAGGAAGGCAAAATTGGGTTCTTACCGTGGCAAGAGGATATAAGACTTGTACAGAGGAGGATGAAGCAGCAGCTATGGAGGAATCTGTAGACGAACAGAAGCGCAGGAGGGTGTGGGAGGAGAACAAATACGTGGATGCTGGGAGTGACGACATGGCTCTCGATGATCCAAAAAACGAAGAAGGGGCAGGTCTAGGCACTTCGACCCGCCGAGAGCTGTGAAGATGATCCTGCTTAATGAAGTACGGGGGAAGCCCCTCGGGTTGCTGAGGATGCAGCTGGAATTCCACTTTTATGCTTTCATTTTTGTCTTTTATTTCGATCAGAATTAGTTTGTTTTTGTCATTTATGTTTTTTTTTGCCAGACTCGATCTTGCATTAGGATTGGGCGATGAGGGGTCTTTCCTTACCGCGTTAGGCTCATTTAGACCAACTACAGGATCAGCGAGTCATATTACTTTTTGCAGGGTGATTGGCTCTAAGTCTGGTTCGAGGGTCGGCGGGTGGAAGTGGTCCTTTTATCTTCTTGTTCCCTTTCTGAATGCTGTGATATCAATTTAAGTCGTCTTCTTCCAAAAAAAGTTATAAACTTAATATAAACTGCCATATAACCAAACACCACTTTGCAAACTCATAATTAATGCTATCAGCTAATTGAAACAGTCAACATAATTTGCTATCATCAATAATCTAAAACAATCGGCCCACAACCAACAACCAACAGTCGATTACCAAACACCCCCATTGTATAGGTTTAAATATGTTTTTGAATTCTGTAAATATGACGCACTTTGTTTAGGGATCTTCAATTTTTTATCCTAGTAATATCCCTGGTTTATTTTTACTCCATCTCAAACTCTTAAACAACCCTATTTATGAAAAAGTTTTTTTCGGATGCTTAAATCTAGTAAATACATTTAAATTTATTCTTCTATAACTTTTTGAGCCTAATATGAGAGTTAAAATAATGTAAAACTAATTATTCACACTTCTAAAATATGCATTAAAACCCTCTAAAAACTAATACTTTTTAAATAACATGACAAAGAATCGGAGGAAATCTATTAGCCGGAGTTGTTTCGTTGTCAAACGAAGGTTTTATCATCGGTGAAGGGTTAAAAAGAAAACCAACATACATTTATATGGAAAACAAAAATGTAATTTCGCAAGAATGTTAAAAATGTTAACTGTATTTTTAAACTGTGATATACACTCTTGGTCTCTTTTTAGTTAACTGTATTTAACTTTTCGAATGAATGATGTCAAATTTTGACTGAATATATTAAATATCAAAGTGTACGTCTTTTTAATATAAAAAAGATATAGGGTATGTTTGGCACAACTAGCTGAAAAGATAGTTTTG